GTCCCCTCCTCCCTTCCCACCCCTTCCCTTCCCCTCCTCTGCTTTCATTCACTATGTGCAGGCTCCTTTCATTCATCTCCTCCATTCAGCTCCCCATACTCCCCATTTCATGAGTCAGCTTCTACAACCACCCTCATCAGCTGCAAGACCTGCCATCCACCTCCATAGGACCCTGGAGAGGGGGGGGATATTCTTCAACAGATCACCAGCAGCCCTCCCAGGGACCCAGATAGATTGCCAGCACCTCTCTCGGGGACCCATATAGAGCACCAGCCCTTCCAGGGACCCATAGATCACCAGCAGCCCTCCTCAGGACCCAGATAGATCACCAGCAGCCCTCCCAGGGACCCAGATAGATCACCAGCAGCCCACCCAGGGACCCAGATAGATCACCAGCAGCCCACCCAGGGACCCAGATAGATAACCAGCAGCCCACCCAGGAACCCAGATAGACCACCAGCAGCCCTCCCAGGGACCCAGATAGATCACCAGCAGCCCTCCCAGGGACCCAGATAGATAACCAGCAGCCCTCCCAGGGACCCAGATAGATCACCAGCAGCCCACCCAGGGACCAGGACAGAGGTTGTCACCCCTATTATAAGAAGTGTCTGAACAAGGACAGAGCGTTGTCACCCTTATTACAGAAAGTGTCTGAACCATGACAGAGCGTTGTCACCCCTATTATAAGAAGTGTCTGAACCAGGATAGAGTGTTGTCACCCTATAACAGGAAGTGCCTGAACAAGGACCGAGCATTGTCACCCTATAACAGGACGTGTCTGAACAAGGACAAAGCGTTGTCACCCCTATTATAAGAAGTGTCTGAACCAGGATAGAGTGTTGTCACCCTATAACAGGACGTGTCTGAACAAGGACAAAGCGTTGTCACCCCTATTATAAGAAGTGTCTGAACCAGGATAGAGTGTTGTCACCCTATAACAGGACGTGTCTGAACAAGGACAAAGCGTTGTCACCCCTATTATAAGAAGTGTCTGAACCAGGATAGAGTGTTGTCACCCTATAACAGGACGTGTCTGAACAAGGACAAAGCGTTGTCACCCCTATTATAAGAAGTGTCTGAACCAGGATAGAGTGTTGTCACCCTATAACAGGACGTGTCTGAACAAGGACAAAGCGTTGTCACCCCTATTATAAGAAGTGTCTGAACCAGGATAGAGTGTTGTCACCCTATAACAGGACGTGTCTGAACAAGGACAAAGCGTTGTCACCCCTATTATAAGAAGTGTCTGAACCAGGATAGAGTGTTGTCACCCTATAACAGGAAGTGTCTGAACCAGGATAGAGTGTTGTCACCCTATAAAAGGAAGTGCCTGAACAAGGGCAGACCGTTGTCACCCTATAACAGGAAGTGTCTGAACAAGGACAGAGCGTTGTCACCCCCATTATAAGAAGTGTCTGAACAAGGACAAAGCGTTGTCACCCCTATTACAGGAAGTGTCAGAACAAGGACAGAGCGTTGTCACCCTATAACAGGAAGTGCCTGAATATGGACAGAGCATTGTTTCCCTATAACAGGAAGTGTCTGAACAAGGACCGAGCATTGTCACCCTATAACAGGAAGTGCCTAAACAAGGACAGAGCATTGTCACCCTATAACAGGAAGTGCCTGAACAAGGACCGAGCGTTGTCACCCTATAACAGGAAGTGCCTGAACTTGGACAGAGCATTTTCACCCTATAACAGGAAGTGTCTGAACAATGACAGAGCATTGTCACCCTATAACAGGAAGTGCCTGAACAAGGACAGAGCATTGTTTCCCTATAACAGGAAGTGTCTGAACAAGGACCGAGCATTGTCACCCTATAACAGGAAGTGCCTGAACTTGGACAGAGCATTGTCACCCTATAACAGGAAGTGCCTGAACAAGGACCAAGCGTTGTCACCCTATAACAGGAAGTGCCTGAACAAGGACAGAGCATTGTCACCCTATAACAGGAAGTGCCTGAACAAGGACCTTTCATGGCAGGATTGTCAGGGATTATTCTAATGAAAGCTAAATACTTTTGCAATGACATAAACATGATAAGCCGCCTGAGATGTAATGATCGGGATTTGGTCTGTTTTAGTATTTCCGGCCATTGTTGATAGAACTCGACGGACTTGTGTCTTTTTCCATGTAACCATATCACTCGCAGCAGCTACAAATGTGTCTTCTTGTTTCCTCTGGTGATCTGCAGCCGGATACAATGTTGCTGCTCTGACGATAATGCTTCGCTATGCAGCACCGGGTCTGTGCCACGCCGCGGTCACGGGCGACACGCGGGGCTACGGAAGCCAGCGATTCAAATTCAATAGCGGATTGCTCGGTGTCTGAGCTACGAGTCGCTCGGCACTTCTGTGACACCGTCCTTCCCCATATTCATTATTTCTCCAGCAACACAAAGTCTCTGTATGTGGTGCGAATCGCGGCGTGACGCGGGCCTTCCGCTGCGCCAGTGTGCGAGGAGCCGGATTCTGATCATCAGCCTGATCTGCCCGGCAGAGAACTGACCGCAGCCAAGCCAGCTCAGAAACAATCCACTTCACACGTCAGTCAGTTGAACTGATTGAACCGATTTACTGAACATGGCTCTGGTCAGACGTGTTACACGCATGTTGTGTCGCAGCCATGTATCAATGACCTGAACATCCATTTCTTCCATGTGAACCCCTAACAATGGACTTCCCTCAATTTCTCCACTTCGGTTCGGGAAATATATACAACGGGAAGTGTTTTGTTACATCTGATCAATAAGTGCGCAAAATATGCCAGAAATCCAGTGAGCTTCCCCTGCTCTCGGCCTGTGAGGTCATTTACACTGTTCACAGCTATCTTTGTGGACTGCAGAACCCCTCCCCCCCCCCCCCC